AGTCAGGGAAGAAATGCCTCCAGAAGTTCTTTTATTGTACAGGATTGTTTTGGATATCCTGGGTTTTTTGCTTTTCCATATGAAGTTGAGTACCATTCTTTTGAGGTCTGTGAAGAATTTTCCTGGAATTTTGATGGGCATTGCATTGAATCTGTAGATTGCTTTTGGTAAGATTGCCATTTTTACTATGTTAATTCTGCTTACACAAAAACATGGGAGATATTTCCACTTTCTGGTGTCTTCTTCAATTTCTTTCTTCAAAGATTTAAAGTTCTTGTCACACAGGACTTTCACTTGTTTGGTTAGAGTTACTCTAAGATATTTTATGCTATTTGTGGCTATTGTAAAGGATGATGTTTCTCTGATTTCTTTCCCAGTCCTTTTATCATCTGTGTACAGAGGGGCTACTGATTTTTTGAGTTAATCTTGTATCCTGCTACATTACTGTAAGTGTTGATGAATTTTAGAAGTTCCTTGGTACAATTTTTGAGAAAATCCACATACCTCTGAAAACCTGATTTTTGACAGAGAAGTGAAAAGTATCAAATGGAAAAAAGAAATCATATTTAACACATGGTGCTGGCAAAACTAGATATCAACATTTAGAAGAATGAAAACAGACCCATATCTATCACTATGCACAAAACTCAAGTCCAAATGGATCAAATTGAATAAAGCCAGCCACACTGAATCTTATAGAAGAGAAAGTGGGAAGTACACTTGAACGCATTGGCACAGGAGACCACTTCCTAAATATAACCCTAGCAGCACAGACACCAAGAGAACAATTAATAAATGGGACCTCCTGAAACTGAAAAGCTTCTGTAAAGCAAAGGATATGGTCAACAAGACAAACGACAGCCTACAGAATGGGAAAAGATCTTCATTAACCCCACATCAAACAGAGGTCTGATCTCCAAAATATACAAAGAACTCAAGAAATTGGTCATCAAAAGAACACATAATCCAATAAAAAAATAGAGTATATGAAGGCATATTCGACCCGCATGCTAAAATAACCAGACCAGCTCAAAACAACAGATATAATTTAATAATTGAATATGGGGAAACTCATGCGACCAGAGTAAAAGTTCTGATGTCCAAACGGGTCAGGCGGACACCACGGGCAGAGGGAGTAGATAGGTGTATCTACTCCCGTTTATCAACCTGGCTCCAGGTGACCACACCTAAGCCACATGTGATTGGCTGAGCTTCCCTATCATCTCTTCCTTTTGTCTAAACAAGATTGAACCAAATCCAATACAACTATATACAATAGGAACAGATACCAAGTATAAAATTACAAGCAATAAACAACATTAAGCAAGAAACACATAACAAAAGTTTTACTGAGCATTCTATTTCAAGGAGTCTAAATAATGTATTGAAATTAAGTTTAGCTAAATCATGAGGAGGGTAACTACAATTATCTAATCTTTAACTCCATCAAAGATATGAGAAGGGAAGTAATATTACTTGAGTAAACAGGAAGTACAATTGAGAAACTTCCAAAATGTGCAACCCAGATGTGATTGTCTGAGCTTCCCCATCAAGTATAGACCTAAACAGAGAATTCTCAACAGAGGAATCTTAAATGGCTGAAAGACTCTTAAGGAAATGTTCAACGTCCTTAGTCATCAGAGAAATGCAAATCAAAACAACTCTGAGATTCCATCTTACACCTGTAAGAAAGGCCAAGATCAAAAACACTGAGGACAGTTTATGCTGGAGAGGTTGTGGGAGGAAAAGGAACACTTTTGCATTGCTGGTGGGAATGCAAGCTGATACAACCCCTTTGGATGTCAGTGTGGCGATTACTCAGAAAATTAAAAAACAACTTTCCTCAAGACCCAATAATACCACTTTTGGGTATATACCTAAAGGATGCTCAATCATGCCACAAGGACATGTGCTCAACTATGTTCATAGCAGCTTTGTTTGTCATAGCCAGAACCTGGAAACAACCAAAGAATGGATAAGGAAAATGTGGTAAATTTACACAATGGAGTACTACACAGCAGGAAAAAATAACAACATCTTGAATTTTGCAGGAAAATGGATGGAGCTAGAAAACATTATTTTGAGTGAGGTAACCCAGACACAGAAAGACAATTATCACATGTACTCACTCATAAGTGGTTTATAAACATCATGCAAAGAAAACTAGCCTACAAATCACAATCCCAGAGAACCTAGACAACAATGTGGACACTAAGAGAGACTTACAGAAATCTGATCTACGTGGGAAGTAGAAAAAGACAAGATCTCCTGAGTAAATTGGGAGCATGAGAACCACAGGAGAGGGCTGAAGCGGGGAGAGGCGGGGAGGCGGCAGAGAAAAATGTAGAGCTCAATAAAAATCAATAAAAAAAGAAAGAAAGAACACAATGATTTGGATGACAGGCCTGTGTCCCACCTGTGCTGGATGTATCAGGGATTTTCACATTTGTCTTCTTGACCATGCTGCTGTAGCCCTCTATATGAGACTGCAGTTCTCCCAGTTATCTCCAGAGGGCAGTAGCTGGGCATATGCTCAATGGTCTGAAAATTGTTTTCCTGAGCAGGCTGCTTTCCGTCTCCTGCCCTACTCACCTTGAGTGCCCTTCTTAGACCCTGCTCTGACCTCCAGGCTCTGTCCTTTGTCTGAGAAAACCTTTCTGCATGGGATCCCTGAAGATCTCCTCCCTCCTAGCATCTTTCAAAGGGGAAGACAAGATTAGCACCAGGAGATCATCTAGGAGAAGGCAAAAGTGACCCAGGAAGATCAGAGAAGACATGTACACATGTCACCCATAATGCTAGAATGTTTCCTTGAAACCCTCTACAGGAAGAGAGAGCCCACAGTCCTTTAAAGGACACACAGGTCACCTCTTCCCCAAATATCATGAACATATCAAACTCCTCACACAAATTATCCTAGACTTCCCTCCTGAATCACTAATTTGACTGGTGACATCAGTGCTAAAGGATTGATCTCCATCCCTAGTCATCACTCAGCTGTCTCTTTCCAGCCCTCAGAGACATTTCTGTCACCTTCCTGCAGGCTGTAAACACTATCTTTCCAGAGAATTGAGAACACAGGATAGACTGGGTGTTCAAATTGGTCTTTGTGTCACATGGACACATAGTCATGATGAAGGCTCCAGATGTCAGCTCTGGGATGATCTATTGTTCTCTGAGGGCATGTGACTACTTATCAACCTTGTTGCCCAATATTTTGCTTGGAAGAAAAATATAAAGGGAAGTTGAGAGGGCTGCGTGGCAGAACTGAGAGTGAAATGAATTGAGCAGTGCTTTGGACTCAATCCCCACCACTCACAGCCCATTGGATTCTGAGAAGTGCTCCTGTCAGACAAGAAACACCCCAGAAGGAGAAAGAACATCAGAGCCTGAGTTCTGTGTTGAAGCTGAGGTTGTTCTCCTGAGAGGGGGAACAGTAAGTGAGAAAATTGATGGAGTTTTCTCTGCTACTTTGCAAGGGGTGTGCCCCTTGGCAGGGACTTCTGCTCATAGGTAAGAGTACCTACTATCTGACTGTATGGGAAGGGGAACTCAGAAGCAGTTTGGAGTCTCTTAAACAAGACAGGATCTTGAAAGGAGACTCAAGATTTTCGTTTGTGCTTATGGTACAGAAGTACAGTGAGGGACAGAAGCTTTTTAGCTTGAATCTCTCAGAGTATGGGAGGTGATGAGGGGAAGAGAAAAGTCTCAAACAGTCTATATTCCCAGTAAATTATATTGGCTGCAACGTTCTGAAGAAAACTATTCCCAAAAATGACAGCATGACCCTCCAAATAGAAACCAAACACCAGACAGCTAGCAAGATGTCTCATTGTGGGAAAATATGACAACCTGAAACCAATCCTCATGTCCCACACAGTAGATGGAGAGAACAGACTTCTGCAGGTTCTGCTCTGCTAATCCACACAGGTTTCTGTGGCATGCACCCACACATGTATATACTGACACATGTGCCTCCACACAGATTTGTGGCATACATCTTCATATGTGCCCAAGAAGACACCAGTCTTTACAAATACACACATTATTTACATAAATAAGTTTAGAACCACTTATTTCACATTTGAATATTATTAATGTCATAAGCTTCAAACCTAGGAACCATGAAGAGAAATCCATGGACACACATTCCTTCTTCCATTCTTTCTTTATTTCCTTTCTCCACTTGTGTCTGAGTCTTTTCAAGGAACTGAACCTTCCAAAAATGTCAGACTTATTCTTTCCTTACAAATTCCTGGTTCAGTGGGGGCAGTGGCAGCTCAGGCCTTTAATCCCAGCCCTTGGGAAGCAGAGACAGGTGACCTCTCCTGGTCTACAGAGTAAGTTCTAGGACAACCAAGCTACACACACACACACACACACACACACACACACACACACACACACAACCCACTATCTCAAAACAAACAAGCTAACTAACTAAAACCAAAGCCCAAACAAACAAAAACAAAAAGCCCTAGTTCGGTGGACTGGATGTCAGTATATCCTGAAAGATGAAGTCATGGATTGACTGGAATCACAAGGGAGCAAAGAAAAACAATAGAAAGTGAGAATTCTTCAGAGGAGGAGTCCAGAGAAGCATTGCTCCTCAAAACAAATACTCTATATAAGGAGGGATATGGGACACTGATGAGGGGAACCAGGCAGACACTCTGGTAGGGGGTCCCTAATGACGTGGTCAGAGGCTCTGAGTCAATGGAAGTCATGTTTCTCGTGTCTGCAAAAGATGGTGGCCACTCACCTATTCACACAGTAAAGATGATTGCACCTATTTAATATTGGTTGTTTTTCTCATCTCATTTCTAGCCTCCCTTTTAACCTTTGGGCACCAGTCCACCACTGCCCATGTGATCACTGAATCAGTACCACCCCAAGTGGCTGAAGGAGAAAACGTTCTTTTCATTGTCCACAATCTGCCAAAGGATGTTAAATCCTTTGGCTGGTTCAAAGGGCTAAAAATCGAGAAACAAGGAATTGCAATGTATAGACGGCGCAAGAATTTAGTTACAAATGGGCCTATGCACAGTGGCAGAGAGACCATATATCGCAATGGATCCCTGCTGCTCAAAAAGGTCTCCCGTAATGACACAGGGTTCTATACCCTACAAACGTATAATAGACATGCAGAAATCCTATCAACAACTGCCGTGTATCTCCATGTGCATGGTAAGTGATTTATTGTGAACTGTGTGAATGGGGTGAGGTTCATTTCACTGAACACATACAGTAGAGTGTTCTGTGCCTACCTTTTCTATGCATTGTGACCCCATGTTGGGGTTTGAGAATTTATTGCAGGACACATATGGTGTAGAATAATGGCAATAGAACAGAATCTTTCATTTGACTTCACCTTGTACATAGATATATGCATGGTGGGTAACTCAAACAAGGATATCAGCCTCTTTCTAGACTCTTGGTGTTCTTACCAGGAATTTTCTTTAAGAAAGACCCCCAAGGGATTCAACATTGTGCCTGGTTGAGGAAAATATGGAATTTTTACTGAGATATGAGCACCAGGATGCCCTGGCTCCAGACCTGTCCCAGTATTCTCCATAAGAAGCATTTTATACATGTTGAATTTTGATATCCTGATGGCAGGGACAGTGCTGCAGAGTAGTCAAAGTCTTGTGATGTGTGGAATCAGACAGTGCACTGTCATGAGAGCCTTTGTTGGGCTATGTTTTTTAGCCATCTTCTTCGGAGAGTCAGCTGGGAAACATAGTTCAACAGGTGTCCAGGTCATTAACTAACTGTCCTGTTGGGCATATTAGATTCCACATGAAGGTCACGGTCCCCAAGGAGAGGAACCAAGGACACAAGTGCTTGTCCTCTGTGTCCAACTTGAAGAATTCTCTCTTGCAGCAAATGACTACAGGCTATGCTGGTCTGACAGCTTCCCAGACATGAGCTGTAGTTCCCCTGGTGATTACCAAGGATGTCATCAGGACACACAATGAGCTGGCAGAAAAGTATTTTCTTGACCTGGGAACTTACCTGCTAGCCTGGTTTCTCTCCTGTTTTTACAGACTTGGGAATCATGGTCACAGAATTCTCAGATGTACCAGCTACCTAATGTCTCTGCTACACTGACACAGGATCATGTTGTTTCCTACTTTATGTGTTTTCCTTAGGAAATACATGATATACAAGGGGAATAAACTAGATAGAGGTCCAAAGCATCACAGAAAGGCCATGGAGCACATGGGCAACCAATTACACAGCTCAGCAAATAGAGGACATGGGAGCATGGTCTTGAAAATCTTGCACAGGATGAAGAACTTTACAGCCTTTTTCCAGAAATCAGGTCACCTCCTCCCATACATCTGAGATGTGAGACTCCTGACATATCCTGGGCATTTGACCTCAGTCAGAACCAAGTCTAATGGTAACTTCAGTGAGAATAGATTCCCCCACACACATACACACATCACTTACTTTGTTACTTTGGAACCTCAAAGGCAGTTTTGGCATCTTCCTGCTGGGAGTGAATTCCATGTTTCAAGAGCATCGAAAACACAGGACAAGTTGGTGGATATAAGCGTTTGATTCATTGTCTGACAAACTGAGACCAATGAACAGAAGTCCTCTGACCTCCACTTAAGTGTTATGCCCTGGACCCACATACAGACTGTAGACTAGCCCTTACACTACACACACTCAAGTGAAAAAAATCAAAGCAAATGGAATGATCCAATACTGTATCTCTAAACCTGTAATTTTTCTTAAATACACCCATGGGCATACAGGATTCTGAGACATCAATTATTTATTCAGTCTCCACACATATCTAGTTTATTCTAAACATCATTTAAAAAATTATAAGAAAACTCATCATACTTATGATGTTCCCATTTTAGTGGACTTGAAGTAAAGAAAGCCAGAAGGTGAATTTATATATTGGTTTAAACCCCATCAGAGAAGAAAAACAACAAAGTCAGAGAGTGAATGTTGTGGGAAATCTCGTGTTTGTTTTCCCAGCTAGCTGCCTAGACCCCAGAAATAATCACAGAGAAACTATATTATTTAAATCACCGCTTGGCCCATTAGTTCTAGCTTTTCATTGGCTAACTCTTACATCTCTATTAATCTGTTTATCACCACGAGGTCATGGCCTACCAGCAAAATTTCAACATGTCTGTCTCTGGTGGCAACTCCATGGCTTCTCTTTACTCTGTCTTTCTTTCTCCTGGCATTCTGTTTAGTTTTCCCTACCTACCTAAGTTATGCCCTATTTACAGGCCAAGGCAGTTTCTTTATTCACCAATGGTATTCATAGCATACAGAGGGGAATCCCACATCAAGTGAAGACATAGGGTCTGTAGAGGAAGAAGTCAGGCAGACATAACCCCGAAATGAATCTACAATGAATGTGATCAGGGATCTGATTGCTGTAAGCTGGGCAAATGAAGAGAGAGAGAAAGAGTCATACAATTAAAATGATGAGTATGGGGACACTTAGAACATGAAGGTCTTGTGCTGACCTCCACCAAGTAAGACAGGGTAAGACAAACCTAGGGTGAGCAGAAGACACTGCTGCTCAGACACAGGGCTTCATCTTAGTTAAATCCAAATGTTCCAATTTAGATGAATCTCTCTCTTCCCTTCTAGATTTCCTTTGGAAGTGTGGACGCCTTGCTACCTCATCACAGCCCACTATTGAATCAGTGCCATCCAAAGTTGTAGAATGGGGGGATGTTCTTCTACTTGTTCACAATCCCCCAGAGAATATTGTAGGCTTTGTCTGGGTCAAAGGAATGAATGTGTCCAAGAATACTGTGGCTTCCCGATATATACCAGACAGGAAAACAACTATGTTGGGGCCTGCATACAGTGGCAGAGAAATTTTGTACAGTGATGGATCCCTGTTGCTTCGTAATGTCACTCCGAAAGACTCTGGACTGTACACTCTAGAAATTCTGAGAACAGATATGACAACTGAGACAGCACAAATACAACTCAAGGTCCACAGTAAGTGAATCTCTGTGACTGTTCAGTGCCAATGGTGTTTAGACACACAGGACTGTCATGGCTGGCCTAGCCTTCCTTCCTTCTGCACTGTACCCCACATGGAGGTTTGAGTACTTAGTGAACACACTGGTAGAAACAAATTACCGTAGATTGGTTTCCATCTTCTAACTCCACCTGCGTTAAGGAAGATATTGATGTAAAGCAACTCAGCCTAAAATGTCAGAGTCAGCCGAGTCTCTTGAGGCTCTGGACCAGGGAGCCATGAATCCTGTCATCTTTCCAAGGATGGACTTAAGTAACTCCAGGGAGCATTTTTCAGTGCCCACTCTTACATCCTCTCAAAGCCGATAGGGAACAATGGTTTTAGGACATCCATGTCAAACTGAGGTATTTCTTAGCTCCAAATTGAGAATGTTATAAATAAAATCCAGGAAATGGTAGAGAGAACATGGAGGAATGTTTACCGTTGCTGTTCTCTTCATACTTGCTCAAACAGTGCCCTTCTATTACCCAGGACTCCTAGACTACGAACTGCCTGCATTACTGTGAATCCTTTTGTATCAGTCCCCAATTTAAAAAAAATGTATTATAGTTTGCCCACAGGTATATCTGGTGGTGGCATTTTCAACTTAGGCCTTGACTTGTCAAATAACTATAGTTTGTGTCAAGTTGACACAGAACCAGCCAGCCTAGTACTAAAGTCTTTTAAAGACCTCAAGCCTACCTAGAAGATCAGACTGCTCCCAGCCCCCACACAGACCCAGACCTAAGGGTTACTTGACAGGGCAGCAAGTGTTACTATTAGGTGAAGTCAGCAGTTCAGTGTTGCCTCAAAGGAATATGAACAAAAAAGCCTAGAAAGTGGAAGTTCCAGGCCTGTTGATGTCAGGGGAGGCATTGTTTCAAACCCCAGTGTGCATGAGTGTGTGCAGTGTCTGACTGAGGGCAGTGGGAGAAGCCTTGTAGACACCCAAGGGGACAGTTCCATATAGAGGAAATGAGACTTTCGTGAGCACTATTGGAAAGGAGGAGATCATGTTTCCACTCTTCATTAAGGGGCATACAGAGACACACCCGCCACTCTAGACTGAGTGACAAGTTCATCTGCTCAGGGTGGAGGTCACCATCTTTTCATCAAGCACAATGATCCCCATGTGATGATTTATTTCCCTATGTTCCCTTCCAGCCTCCCTTTCTCTGTGCTGCAACCCTCTCAGTCCTCCACAGCTCACGATCCGACCTGTGCCTCAGTATGCTGCTGTAGGGGAAGTTGTTCTTCTCCTAGTTCATAATCTTCCAGAAGATTCGCAGAGCTTTTCCTGGTATAAATCAAGGCATAAGGCCCCGGTCCTTAAAATTGTAGACTACAGTAGAGCCAAGAATTCCGTCTCCTGGGGACCTGAATACAGACAAAGAGGGATGGTATATTTTAATGGATCCCTGATGCTTCAGGATGCCACTGAGAAAGATGCAGGAAGGTACACATTAGAAGTTTTAAACAAGGATTTCAAAATTAAAAAAGCATCTGTGGAATTTTATGTAAAGAGTAAGTAACTCTCTATGGTCTTTTGCTTCTGGGTGTGGCTTATCCTACTTCATACACTGAACTATGAGACTGGACTGTGCCTGTTCTTCCCTCACAGTATTGTTTCCCCTCACTTGAGTTGGGTTCCCTACTGTGGGGCACACATGGGATAGATAAACTGAGATATATCAGAACCCCTCACCTGTCATTACCTACAGAGTGGAGGACCTGTTCTCAGTAAACTGAGTCCCAGAATTTCAGCCTCATTGCAGACACTTAGAGTTCTCAGCATGTATATGTTTCCAGAAAGACTGTGGGAGTCAGGCAGTCCCTGGCTGATGAAGCCATGACATCCTCTAAGAGAACATCAGGAAGCCCTGACTCTAAAACTTTGCCACTGACTGACTCAAGGTGACACTGGGGAGCTTTTTTGTCATTGTTTAGATTTCCTCTCAACACTGATAGGGAACAAAACTTTACTGACTGTCCAAGTCATGGGCCTGACTATGCCTTAGAGTATAGAACCAGCTGTGTACTGCCATGACAGCTGCAATTAGGTAGGCCACCTGTTCATCTCCTTCTCCTGAGGCTCAGTGGACAATTGTCTGGGCCATTAGCCTATTGTTCTGATGGGCTTATGAGACTTCACAGGAAGGTCAAGGCACCAAGGAAAGAAGCAGAGAAGTAAGCTACTCCAGATTCCTCCTTCATTTCATGGGTCCAGCTTAGGAAATCCTCTTCTGCAAGTAAATAGTAACAGATGCTGCTGATGTGAGCAGCTCCCCCAACCCAAGGTCAGATTATTGTTCATAACTAAACTTAACTCATGGACACGGCAATGATCAGGCACTATGTGTCCTATTACAAGGAAACTGAGACAGGACACAGTGCCTGAATCAGGGTCACACAATCCCTGAGTAGTGGATCCAAAACACAAGATATGTTTATAGTCACAGCTCAAAATTCTTCTCTCTAAAAGCTTTATAAATTATGAAGTAAAGAATGACTGGTTGAGCTCTCTAGATTACTGCTATTTGGTATATTCCCTTGTTTCTCCATAGAGTCTGTGACACAGCCCTTCATGCAAATGACTGATACCACAGTCGCAGGATGTAGATTTGTGACCTTCACCTGCATTTCACCCGACACTGATATCTCTGTCCGTTGGATCTTCAATAATGAGACTCTGCAGCTCACAGAGAGAATGACTCTGTCCCCAACAAAGTGTGGCCTCAGAATAAATCCTGTCAAGAGTGAGGATGCTGGAGAGTATCAGTGTGAGGTCTCCAACCAAGTCAGTATGAAGACCAGTCTCCCAATCTCCTGGCCATGATAGGTGAGTGACCTCTCTTCATCCTACACTATAATGCTGGCATTTCCTTATCAATGGGATGAAAATAGGGGAAACTTATGAGGTAAAAATGATCAGTTCCTACTCAGGTACCGCCAGCATGGTGACTCACACTTACAATCCTGGGATACACGTGTGTACAAAGGAAGGCCAGGATTTAAAGCAAGATTGTCTTAAAAGGAGAATAAAGACATCAATATGGGAAACAAAAATAGAAAGATCTTAGGAGCTTAGATTGTGGTTCAAATATATAGGGATACCGCAGAATTCATGCGAAAAAATCAGGAGCCCCCAAACTTTTGGATGGTCTGAATCTGCTGTGAAGATGATGTATTCTTTTTCATAGAGAAAAACAACCTTTCATATGCTCATATACATTCACTATTTACCTAGTTCGCCTTGGCCTAAAGCTGCACACCAGTCATCCGTGTGAAATGAGGAAGAGCGACAGGAGGGACTGCCTGTGTCTCACTGTGGATGTAGCTGGTTTCTGAATAGCTTTGATTCACAGTTTGAATAAACAGATGTAAAGTCCTACATGAAGAGCAGATCTTACTCTTCACTTTGAGGGTGGCATTCACAGTGGGACCTTGCACACGAATGCTTTTCCTGTTCCACCACTACCCCAATACATCTTACAGAAAGGACAGATTGTAGGTTAAAAATTTTGTGGCTGGATGGATTTTCCAGTCCCACTACTAGAAGTCTTCTGTAGTTAGAGAAGATGGTTGATTAATAGTATCTATCCTGCACTACTTGGGGTCTTTACTGTGGTCACTCTTGTAGATCCCAGGGAGTTTCCACTGTAGTAGGTTTCCACATTGCTTCCCAAATGCCCCACCATTCCAGTCATTACTGCAAGTACTCTCTCCTTCCATCCCAGCTTCCCCCACATTTTCTACTGTTCCCATCCCCACCTGCCTCATTCACAAAACTTATCCTACTTCTTCTTCCCAGGGAGACACATGGGTCCTACTTGAGTCTTCCTTGTTACTTAGCTTCTCTATGCATAGGACAAAACAGGACACTTAATTCTTTGTTTGCAGTATTAGTTTACAGAAGTGAACTCAGATGGGTGTGTTTGTTCGTCAGTTCCAGAAACTTCTGTTGAATCTTTAGAATTTTCAAAAAATAAGCTCACGTCATCTGAAAATCTATTTTATAGCCAATTAACTTGTCACACTTTATTTATTTCTGTTTTTTAATTGCTCTGTCTAGGATGTCTAAGAGAATACTGAAGAAAAGTGGCCACCGCAGCATCCTTGTGTTAATCCTGGTCTTAGAGGGAAAGCTGTCGGTGTCCCCATGAGTGCTTAGATGCAGTGATGTCTCACATTCCCCCCTACCTCAGCCTACCTTCTACCCTTGGTTTGTTTGTTTTCATCATTAAAAATTATTCACTCTTGTCAAATTTACTTATTGATTCAGTCTTAAGAGTTATAAATGCAATCAGTTTTGTGTTTCTTCATGCTTCCACCTCTATAGGTTCTGGGTCACTAGGTATTTGCATGTTTCATGTAAGTCATTCTACAGTTCTCCGTGACTATTGAGGAGTTATGGTTGCAGGGATGCCTGGCCATGGAAAATATCTTCAGGTGTGTGGGGTTAGGCAAAGAATTGGGTCTTGGAGGGACAGAGTTCAGAAGTTGGCAGTGGAGGAGGTATAGTCTGGAGGCAGGTCTCTCAAGGGCTTACATACTGGTGGGGGCTGCCCCAGAACAGTGGAGTTCCACCAGAGTTGTGGGGCAGGGCCCAGATACCTTGCTCATGCTGGGATCAGAGGGTAGGGATATGGTAGGGATATGTACCCTGAGGTTTATGCTCTGGAATTTGCCACAGATCCATTGGAATGACAGTAACTCACTTCCTTTTCCAACTGGTGTGATTTGTGCCTGTGCCTGTGCTATGTAGTCAGCTGGGGTTGAGGTAGAGGTCTGGCCATGAAGGAGGATATTCAGGTGTGTAGGTTTGGGTGGCAGAGTGGATTTTGGTGGGACAGATTCCGCTGTGTGGTGGGGGTATTGGTGCAGTTGGAGTCAGGACTTTCATCTACTTGCAGGTTGATGGTGACTGCACCTGAGCCATGGAGTTCCACCAGGGTAGTGCTGAGCTTCTTTATTTATTTATTTATTCATTTATTTATAAAAAAATTTCACTTCCTCCCCTCCTCCCAATACCATCCCACTCTCCCCACTCCCTTCCCTCCTCCCTCTCCAGTCCCAAGAGCAGTCAGGGCCTCCTGCCCCACTGGAAGTCCAAGTTCCTCCCCCTCCCTCCAGGTCCAGGAAGGTGAGCATCCAAACAGATCAGGATCCCAGAGAGCCAGCACATGCAGACGAAACAAGACCCAGCGCCATTGTCAATGGCCTCCCAGTCAGCCCCCATGTCAGCCACATTCAGAGAATCCGGCCTTGTCCTTGGGCATATACTGGGCACAGTTTGTGTAGCAAATTGGTGGCACATGACTAAGGCTCTTTTGGGCACTAGTATTATTTCTTCATTTTTTGTCCTCTTGGAATCAAGAGGTGAAAGATTTCCCTTAAACATTTTTATTTTCTTTTAATTTTCTATACACTTTAATACCCCAATACAACAGAGGGAAGAAAACAAAAGACTGCTTTAACATGATACAAGGGACAACTAGAATAGTTACTTGTTTTAATACTTCGAGCCATCAAATCATTAATTCATGAGAAAAGCATTCTGTTATTTAATCAGAGAACCTACCCTAGACCAAGTATCCTGAAGGCAGCCACTCCTTAGGTAAAACCTCTTAATTCAAAAGAAGGAGCAGAAGTATGCTTGAGTTTTCTGAACTTTGGTTAGGGTGGAGTGGCTCGACCTGTATGGGCCATCTTAATTTCTGAAATACCAACTAGCCACAGCTTAAGTCAGGGTTTGTAGCCACTGTTGACACCTTTGACACCTTTGAACAGGGCAAAACTCCCTGACATTCAGACAAGTGGAAATAGGTTCACATGTTTTGAACCTCCACAACAGGTGCTGTGGATTAATCTTCCAGCACACTATAAAGATTTGCCACTCAAATTGTTTTAATAAAACATTGATTGGCCAGTAACCAGGAAGGAAGTATAAGCGAAGTTACCAAACTAAGGATAATGGGAAGGAGAAAGGCAAAGTTAAGAGTCACCAGCCAGATATAGAGGGAGCAGGAGATAAACATGCCTTGCTAATAAATGTACTGCCACATTGCTCTCTCCTTTTAGTTACACTCTGCCTCCTAAGTCCACCTATCCTTGCTTCTGCCTTGCTATTTGCCATTCAACTCTTTTTTTAAATTTATTTTTCCATTCAAAAATTTACACTTTCTCCTCTCCTCCCATTTCCCTCCTGCTCTCTTCCTCTCCCTCCTCCCTCTCCCTCCCTTCTTCAGAGAGGGTAGGAGACCCTGTCCCTTGGGAAGTCCAAGGCCCACTCCGCTATATCCAGGCCTAGGAAGCTTTGCATCCAAATAGACTAGAGTCCCCAAAAGCCAGTACATGCAGTAGAAACAAGTCCCGGTGCCTTTATCAATGGCTTCTAAGTCAGCCCCCATTTTCAGCCACATTCAGAGAGTCTTGCTTGATTCAGTTCTGGTCCAGCTGAATTTGGTGAGCTCCCATTAGAATAGGCACACTGTCTCAGTGGGTGGACCAACACCTCATGGTCC